TACTAGATGAATTACTTAACCTGTTTAATTTTGCTTTAACACGGTGTTGTTGAGAAGTGTGATATTAATTTATATAAAAAGAAACAAAAATTAAATTAAATTATTCTTTTTTAGTGTAAACAGATGAAATGCGATACAAAAATGAAGAACGAGATTGAAATTAACAGATGTGAACATTATACTATTTACAGAGAGATACAGCAACCTTTTCCTGAAAACTTTAAAATTTCTGCAGTTCACATAACTAATTATTTAAAGTGGGTATATTTTCATCAGTTAAATCTTAATCTGTAGAAAATCAATAGAATTATGAATACTTAGTGTTATGTTGAATTTGAATTTTTAAATTACACTAGACAAATACAAAGCATAAAAATAAAACTATCTAATTATGTCCAAAGTGAGTTTGACTGGTGATATAGCATTATGACAGTTCATGCTTTTAAACAATATAGAAGCATTTATTTTAAAATATGTAAACTTGTATTCAGTTTATTTCCTTAATAAGCTTAAGGTGTTTTTGTGTTTACCAGCTCATTTTATATAATATCAATAAGCATGGATTTATTGTAGATTTAAACTATTAAATATGGAGCAACATTTTATTTAATTGTTTCTTTTTTTTACTGTAATGAAATTTTTTAATATTTTAAAAAGTATAAGTGCAACAAAAATTAAACCATTTAACTTTTACAGTGTAGGCTTATCTTTAAATATTTTTCTGACTTACTGATAATGAAATTATTATTATTATTATTATTATTATTTTTTAATGAAAATCATGGTCACCACAATTTTCTGCACCTATTAGTTTTTTTACTGTAATTTTCACCAAATTGACTTATTTAGCCATGCTTAGTATGATATACTCATGCTACATGCATCTGACTGTGTAAAAATTTTAATTGAAAAATTTTTCCACTTATCAAATGCTCTCAAAAAACCCACTCTGTAAATTGCCACTTTATGCTCAAATTGTGTGAAAGATGACAATTTTCTGTTCTGACATGATGTCAGAGTAGAAAATTTTTAATATCATTAGTTAAGGAGGCTTCTCAAAATCACCACAAAAGGGAATTGTGACATCATGGATGTTTGTCAATTATGCCTGACGTTGTGACATGGGGGTTGGCAAGTTGCTATGACCTCGTATGCTTAAGACTAGGACGCCATACCCTTTAAGATTTAAATGTTTTTGCAACTTTATTTTGTGCCCAAAAAATACAGAAAAGTTATTTCCTTATATTTCTGAGAAACACTGCCCTGTTGTCATTTGTTTCCAGCTAAATTTGTTTTCCATAGGCTATACTATTGAAAAGTTTGAAATGTTCCCTAGGGAAACCCACTCAAGACATTGTTCTATTAACTAAACAATGTATGGACCTTGAAATTTGGCACATGCAGAGAAGACACATCACAGGATTTTTCAGAACTGTCAAATTTGAGGAATGGCAATTATGTGCAGCATAATTATTCATAAAAAAAATTAATGAAAAATTGCCACCCAACACACACAACTTCGCTAAACGGAAGCTGCATGTCACTGTGGGTTAAATTATCTGTCAAATAAGATTTGCGATTCATGTACTTTATCTTAAACTTTTGACTTTTGTTAAAATGTAAATAAAAAATTTTTACTATTAAAGTTCCTACATTTGAAGAGATTTGCAAACAAAAAATTTGTATTTATATTTTTAACTCTAATTTTTGTATTCAATTCACATAAGATTAAAGGGAATAAATTACAAACGTGTACATTTAATTAAATAGCATTAAAAATGTCTTAACTATGAGAATTGAATTTCAAAAAGAAATTTGTATTTCCATTGCTTGAAAGCAATAAATTTTCATTGATTTGGGTTATGACTTTTATCTATCCACTCTTTTTATTTCAGTAATATTGTTGCAAATGAAATAGCTTCAGTTAAAAATATCAAAAATTATAATTCTTTCCATTTTAGAAGAGACATTGGTTAAGATAGTATCTAAAGAAAAATATTGATTAGTCATAATCTAAAATTTGAATTACGTGACCATTTTTATTTTATAATAAATTAATCTGACGAAAACTTTTTATTTGAAATAGAAAAATACGGGATCAGGAAATAGGACAGTATTTGTTTTATTATTTTATGAAGTTTGTTGATGAAGAAATAAAAGAATTTTTACCAATTAAGGATTTTGTAATAGAACAACTAGAATTTCTTGGAATGGTAAGTCAATAAAGTTGTTGTTACATAATAATTTTTGATTAAAATATTTGAAAAACTTTGATACATTAATTAATGTTATATCTTTTGGTTTCAATTAGAATACATTTTTCTAAATAACATAACAGAGAAATATATGCATTACCTATGTTATTTTTCTTTATAAAACAATTTAATTTTTGAATATTTTATATATTTATTATCAAATAAAATAATCATTATAATAGTTGTAATATATTTGAAGCTTTTAGTATAAGTTTTATATATTGAATTTGTATGTAAAAGCTCGGTTATCTTTTATTTTAGAAATATATCAAAGGAATGAAAAGTCAACAAATGGAACTGTTAAAATCAATATCTCATAATTCATATATTTTGGATTTCGTATCGGTGGCAGACTTGTTTGATCCGTCCATCAACGAACCCGAGGATTATATTAGAATGTTCGAGTTTTTAGTTAATTGCATTGACTCTATTCCTAATTCCATACTATGTATTCTTCTAAATAAGGTGAAATTATTAACATTTCTTTTTAAAGAGAAAGTTATGAGACTTAAAATTTAATCAAAATAATTTTTAAATAGTTTGATATTTCTCGATGGCTGGGCGAGAAAAAACAAACATCTAACATAAATCAAATTATACGCAATGTCGGAAGAGCATTGTGCAAATTGGGAGTTGAAATAAATGATGATAAACGGCAGGCATTTGACGTAAGTAAATCGACATTTTGGAAAACTAATTCTGCTTATTTACACATTTTAGAAATGAAAAGAATTCATTGTTTTAAATAAAAATCTTACTGAATTTTAATCATGAGATGCCAAATTAAACTTAGCCGTATATATATTAAGTTTTTATTTCTTTATAAATATGAAATTTTAGCTTCACAAGTTTATTTTATAAGTATGCATCATAAAAAACTCTGAAAGCTAATAATTTGCCAATTCTTAGTTATCAGATTTTTTCCTAACATGAGAAAAATTTAAAGAACTTGTTTTTAAAGAAACTTCCATTTATAAATTGTTATTTCATTAATAGTAAAGGATTTTTAAAATTATGATTTCCATTTTTTATAATTTTAATATGTTTAGAATGGATTAAAAGTAATTGAAATACTACTAAAGAGTAAGGAAATTGTTTTATTACAGTAAATCTTCATTCATTTTTGATAATGTTCAGGACAAAACTTTAAACTAAGTAACAGTTATTTGAAAGCATTTTTGATTAATACTAATTCCTATATTTTCTGTTTAATTTCATCATAAATAATCATTATTAGGAAGTTTGTTAAAAGAAAGGAATATTCATTTTGCAATTGGTTTGGCATTTAGTAATTTTGAAATTATTTTCATTTGTACTCTTTCCTGAAACAATGTGTGTTGCAGTATAAAAAAAAAAAAAAAAATGCTTTTGGGATATTGAAATATTTTGTAAAATGTAAAATTAATTTTTATGAGAAATTTTGCATGAAATTTATTTTTTTTAGATCTCTTACAGTATAATAATAATCCATTAATATAAAACTTAATTATTATCATTATTGTTGAAAACCATCATTAATAGATAAATTATAATTCATATTATTATTATTTTTTCAGATTTATCTCAAAGATTTACAAATCCTTTTACTTTACCATTTTCCTACATATTATGGAGAAATATTACAACTACTTCTAATGGGTAAGTGTGCATGCTCATTTTTTTTGTTTTAGATTTCGTTTCTCATTTCTTTCAAGTATGAAATTTGGTTACACCATGATAATGAATTAAATCAAGTTTATTAATCATAATAGGCCATAGCCTATTATAACAGGGTGTTAGACTTACATTATATCCAAATTTACTTATATTAACATAAACAACAATCATGTAAAACTAAGTGCCCTAAAATTACAAAACCTATGTGTATCAGGTTTGTTACATATAAAATTAGAGAGGCCGGTTACAAAAATTTTTTGCGAAATTATACAATTGGTATATCATTGTAGTGTTTGCTAAATGAAATAACATTTGGTTTTTTTCCTTAAAGGTATTTAGCTGATTTAGCTCACCATTAATCCTTAGTTTCTGGNGGTCCCTATAATTACGATTCCTATAAAACTACGAAAAAATATACGTATTTTGGAAATGTTGAGTCGGATTAGTGTAGAATCGATTAATTTTATGGAAGAAAACCTTTCAATCAGCCGTAGTCCATAAACTTGACACGTGTCGGGCTGTGATTGGAACGACTTGTAAGAAATCGGATTCCTAATAAATTGGAACGTATCTATATCTTATAGGGGGGTCGACTGTACAATACAATATAATACATACGTTTTAAAAATTAGGTACATAAAAAATTTTTACAATATTATATTTAAAATATATATTAAGGGCTATAAATGAACTTTTTACATAAACTCTCAAAATGATTAATTGCATAAAAATGAAGCTTGTATACATCTTAAGAAAAAAGAATGCTTTGTTAAACAGACAATACACAATTTTCTGTGAATAGTTCTTACAGGAATATGGATTTCAAAATTAATGTTAAATTCCCATTAAATAGTTTATAAAACAGGATGTGATCCAACTATATAATGTAGTGGAGTAAACCAGGAAATCCAAGCTAAACTCTTGCAGTTTTTCCAAAGTTAGTGAAAGGCAGATTGCACAATTTGTTAAAAATAAAATACACTTTGTTTAATTTTGTAAACATGATATCTAACAAGGAAGTTGGGATTATAGCCCTTGCAGGAATACAATAATCAATGACAGATTGGAAATTGTCAATGAAAGGGCTTACAGTGTAGAACAAGAGATGATATGACTTGGTGACAAAGAATTCCTCTTTGAATAACAAATTTTTTTAGTATTAAAATCAATATTAATATTTGAAAGTAAGTTTTTCATTAAATATGATTCAAAATCATTGGACATAATCAATTGTTTGTTTATTAATAGAGAAGGAAGTGAAGTATTAGGGACTAAGGAAAAGCACGTAATCATAAAACTGTTATAAATTCTAAGATTAAAACTTTCAATTAAAGAAACAAAAGGGTTAAGATCAGTTTGTAATAAGTGGAGATTTGAGTTAATGAATTTTACATCATCAGTAGAATCAAGATTGGGGCAATATAGTTGAGACAAACAACAAAAATTAAATTACTTAAATCAGACTCTTGTAATATACCACAAATTAGAAGAAGGTTGCAAAAAGAAAGGAAAGAAAAGAAACTTAATTCTAAAAGATCGAAGCAAAAAATAGTTGTTGAATCTTGCTGTGACATGGTTGTTGAAATGATCAGCAATTACATCTAATAGAAGAGAGAGTATCTCTAGATCAAATGCTTGTATCAATGGTGAGATCAAGTTGAGTGTGTCAACATATAAGACATATATTGGTTTCTTTTATTCTCAAAATTATTTAAAGTCTCAAATTGTTTTACAGTTGAATTGATGACTGTAGATATGTGTCAGATACAGTGTTGAAACAGTTTTAACCTAGCTGCAGTTGGAGAATATAAATGATACAACAGACATTAAGATTTTAAGTATTCTAGAAGATAAAGAAATAGGATTATATTATGTTTTTATTTAGGAATAGAAATAATAATAGAAGATTGCTATTTATTAGGGATAAAACCCAGTTGGATTATTTCATTAACCTGTGATCATATGTAGTTTTTTATACTCTATTGCATGCAAGTAATTGCCATTCCTTGGATTTGATGACCCTGAAAAATCCTGTAATGTGTCTTCTCTACACTGGTAAAATTTCAATGTCATACATTGTTTAGTTCACAAGATAGTGATATAATGTCTTTAACTGGGTTCCCATGGGAGCCTTTCAATAGAATGGGCGAATGTGAAATGAATTGAACAAGAAATAAATGACAGGAGGGCTGAGGTGGTTTTCAGAAGGATGAGAAAATGATTTTTCTGTATTTTTTGGGTACAAAATAAAGCTTTGAAAACATTTAAATTGTTGAAGGTCATAGAGCGTCAAGCTATCTTACAAAGACAAGCACTCAAGATCATAGCGACTTGCAGACTGCTATATCATTACATTCTACATGGCTGACAAACATTCATGATGTCATGATTACTTCTTGTGGTGTAATTGTGTAAGAGCACTATGACATCATTTTTAATGAAATCAGAGTAGAAAATCACTGTGTTATACATGCAATGTAGTAGTGGTATACATGCATTGTGTAACAATAACAATGTATTGTTATTGTTACACAATGTAACAATAACAAAAATTTGGATGCAATCACATACATAAGGCAGCAGTTTTCTGCAGTTTTGAGGGCTTGTGATAAGAAAAAAAATTTTTCAATTGAAATTTTTATACACTTACATGGATAATATATAGTATAAGGATATTATGGAAGCACAGCTAAATAAATCAATTTTGTAAAAAGACTGGTAGTTGCAGAAAATTGCTGCTACCACACAATTGTGGGTTAAAAATACAAAGAATGAACAATAACTACAATAGGTAAGATATTAATATAAAACACTGCAGGAATTGAATCAGAACTGTAACAAGGTCACAATTTTAAAATAGCATGATGTACCGGTACCTATGTAAAAGAAAATAATTATTGGAGAAGTTGGCCAAACTAGATTCCAGAGACTTAAAATTGGTCTTAGGAGAAATATTAAAGAATCTACACTTTTGATTGTAACATCATAAATTAAATCATCATGGAGAAATTAATGCATTTACAAAAATTGGGAATGAAACTCCAAAATTTTCTAAGATAAAAAGCAAAATGCTTAACTATAGAGTTAAAATAATTGGTATGTTTAAGTTAGAAAAAATTTTATATAGAAATCCAAATAGAATGATGGATGTAAAGATATCTGGGATTCTCCAGTGGTACCACTGTTTATGCATGCAGTTTTGTAATTTTTTTAAGAACAAGAATGAACCATTTTCTAGAAGATGCCAGTTTTTCTAGAATCTAAATTTTATATGACTGTTGAAAAAATTACGCATAAGATGATTTTTTGGTTTAAGGTATGATTTAAACCAAATGACCACTCAGAGACATGAAACTTCCAAAAACTTATAAGGTTTGATCAAGATTTGTAGATGCTTGAGAAGTGGGTATTATTATTTGGACAAGGAGCTGTTTGTGTTTAAGGCTACATGCTCACCATAATTCATTATAATCAGAGTCCTAAATGTCTGGCCCTCTCCTTAGGAATCATTTTTGAATAATTTTTTTAATGACTAATTCCAAATAACACATTTGATCACAGTGTTTAAACATTATTTCACAGGTTTTATGATGTCAAAATTTTTATTTTAGTCTACTAAAACAAGATCAAGGTGTAAAAAGTCATCTCAAAATTTCCCCAAAATTTCTCTTGGCCGATAAAAAATTCCACTCTGGAAATGCCAGACGGCATTGCACAAAACTGCCTTTGGTTCTCGACATCACTTCCTGTTTTTCTGCCTGAACTTGCTGCATGATATTGTGATATTGCTAGGTGTGTGATGCACGGGACTCCCATTGTACAAAAACTTGACATTTTGCTATTTTTCCTGAAGTGTGATTTGTGATTCTATTTCACACCAAATGTTGAAATAAGCAACTAGGATTTTTATTACCACTTTAATAAAAATATCACCAAATGGTGATTTTGGCGCTAAGTAGCACAACTCCTGCTTATATCACTGGTAAGTTTTGTTGAGCCCTCCGTTGAATGATCTGACATCATGTCACATTGTTTTGTAGAAAAAAGAAACATTTATGTTGAAAGGGCATTTTTTATGATGGCTGATTTAATTAAGGAGATGCAATGATTTAGAAGGAGACTGTTTTGGTAAATAATTAAAGTAACTCACTTAACCATTATCCAAATAAAATCCTTTTATTTGAATGAACCCTTATCTATATCATTTTCTTCTATAGTGGGTATTTCTTCAATAATTGAATTTTTTGAATATTTATATCATTAGGAAGATGTAAAGAGGGTGAAATATCTGTCCTAATCAAATTTTGGACAAATTCATGGAGTAGTTTGTGTCTGAAAAACGCTTAATATTTCAATATTGACCAAATTATCCAACATAATCATGTAATCACATGTTTTATCATATACAGGTCATTAATCTGTATGCTATTACAGCATCCACAGCAAGAGTGAATTGATAGTTTCTATAAGTGAAATTTACTTGTTTTGTGGAAGCAGCCATGTTTAATTGGTTAACTAATCATCGTTCTTTCAGGTCATCGAGATTGTTGAGCTCAACGGTGAACCAATGCTGACTTCACGGACTTCAACGGTCCATTTAGAAATGTCATTTTTTCACTGTTGAGGCAATCGTTGAATATAGAAATGTACCCATTATTCCAGATTAGAATAATCTTACAAGTGAAATTCAGAGTACAATTGTTAAATAACACTAAGTTAATTGAGTTGACAAAATTACAATAGATTTGGTTAGAATTTTCAATTGTCATTTTATTCATTTCACTTGTTCAGAATCCTGTTGAATGTGGAATATACTTTTTTGCTTCTTTTTCTGTTTTATTACAATTTCAGTAATAAATTTCTTTGTAATTATGAAGACATGTTAAATTTACAAAAAAGAAATAATTTGTGAAATACTTCAAATCTTTTTGACATTTTCAAAATGCCATCATAAGGAACTGACTTTTAAAATACAGAAAAGT